GACACTGGTATGTGTACTGCGTTCAACTTCCCTTCCAGTGAGCTTGTTGCATACAGACCACTGGGACGTGGGAAAATAAAGAGAGCAGAGTTAAGTTAAATCAGACTGAGAGCTCAGTCCCGCAACCGAAGAGATAGCTTAGTTATCCTCAGGACTTAAAGTCGGGCTGCAACAGCGCCCCCTTAGTATGGGCCCTTCTGACGCTCTCACTCACATGACATCTGAAACATCCGTTCGTGTACAGTAGTTTGTCTATCTGATGAATGTGAAGATCGAAACTTGAGTGGGTGGTTTGACACACATTGAAGGTCATTTGTTTTTGTTTATTGAATTAACTTGAGGTGCAAAATGCTATTTACTAAAAAAGATTTCAGTTTAAATCAATATATTGAAGGAAATAGTGAGCCAACATGGGCCAAATCCAATGTTTCTTGATATTCAACGAATTTACCACGCTATTAAACGCTGCGGAACACAATGTCTCGTTTATGCGTGTTGTATTATGAAAGAAAATTAATAAAAAACTAGAAAAGTTTTCGTTTTAGTTTATCATTTAGTTTTATTGGTTTGAGTTTATTTTATTTTGTTTCTGCGAAAATTCCTTTTGAAAATTTCCGAAGATAAATTAGCGAACAAACGTTGGCTTTTGCTTAATTCTCGTCAGGCCTTTACATTTATATGGTAATTAAGTAAATAAATTATGCGGGTTGGTAGAAAAATTAGTGCGGCTGCCAGCAGCTTATCACCTCGTTCGACTACCCCCTAAAGCTGATCAGAGTTTTGACTCCGATACTCCCTTCCACCTACCCTGACAACCGCACTTCTTCTTCTACCAACCCGCATAGTTTATTTACTTAATCACCATATAAATGTAAAGGCCTGACGAGAGCCAAATGCATTATTTCGTTTCCTTGGATTGATTTTAGTTAAGCTTAGTTTAGTTTTTAGTTCGGTTAGTTAGGCTGAGCTTACCTTTCGTTTCGTTTAGTTTAACCTAGCTTGGTTTACTTAGTTTACTTTAGTTTTTGGTTGAGTTTAGTTTTTAGTTTCATTTCGCTGTTACTGTTTGTGGAGTTCCTATTTCTTCTGGGTTGCATTTTTTCCTTTTAATTATCGCACGCTTTTTGTGTTCAAAAGCTGAGTTATTTCAATAATTGTTCCTATTATTTACTGTTTTTATACGTTCTACTTTTTAATTATTTTTTTCTTTACCCTGATATTCCCCACCCGTGCAACCCCTACTACGACCGGTCCCGTATTACAGAATGCCGGGGTTTTCACTTGCGGTAGTGAGCCCGAAACTAGATTGTTACTCCTCGACTTTGTCTTGCTGTCGGATGAAGTTGCGCGTGAGACCAAATAGGCAGGATGATAAGGTGACTGACAATTACCTGTTCCGGACTCATGTATAGGTCCGTGCCCACTTGGCTCGTATGATGCTTCTTTACTTGCATATTTGACCTGTCATCGCCACTGGTACTGTCGTTACTGGAACTAGCGAACCGGGAGCACTCCGATGAGCCCCAGGAATTACCAGCAGATGAGTCTCTGGGCAAAAAGGTGATCACCGGCCCCACCGAATCGTCCTTCCCGGTCGGCTTACTGACGTTCGCCGCACACCCAGAGTCCGAGTCCGCCTTGGGTGAAGAAGGGCTGTAGTTGGATGTCACTAAGCCAAAATCGGCCAATTTGATGTGGTTCTCCTGATCGAAGAGGATGTTTGACGGTTTTAAATCACGGTGCATATAGTCGCGAGAGTGCAGGTAGGCGACAGCGTCTACAATCTGTAGAAAAATGCCATATACACGCTCTCGCGGTTGACGGGAGGCAACTGTGGGATTATCCGCCAGCCAGTCCTTCAGACTCTTCCGCGAGCACAGCTGCATTTGGATATAGAGATAACAGGAGAGCTGGGGAGGTTGCAGCTTGGCAGAAATATCCAGCTGACTACCCTTTTCTTCTTTGCCAGAACCCAACGACCACTCGCGACTGTTGCCGGTGTCGTTATCACTGACTGCGGCTTTATCCGAGGCCTCACAGAAGGAAATGTCGCAAATGGGTTGCGGCCGTCGCAGAGACTTAGTGTAGGATGTAGATAGTGTTGAATGACGCAGCAAGCTGTGAAATAAAAAATAAAATACTTCGTGCACAAAATTAGAAACTGCTCGGAAAACACAAATTACACCAACGAAAATCACAAAATTGGATAACTGGCATGCAGTGATGGGTAAGGTGAATTTCCAGCGGCTGGTACATGCTCGCAACCAGTGGGTATAATAGTTCTTCCTAGCAGTTTAAGAAGTCAATAAAGGGAGGTTAGTGGCGCCATTAAGAACCGGCCCATATTTTCCTTTTCTTGTCCTTTCAAAGGTATATCAAAAAAAACATTTAAGGTCTCTACAGGCACTCTTGCGTGCGGCTTGCAGAAAATGCGAAACTCCAAAAATAATGGTAAGGGTACCTTTAATGGCCGCTTAGGCTGGACACAGGAGTAGGCACGCCCCGCCCACTTAAAATAAGTGATCTGGCGATAAATTTCAGGAGGGGTACATATTCCCTTGTCTTAACCCAAACACTTGCCCTAACATAAAACTAACGGTAACCGTAGCCCTAGCACTAAGCCTGACCATTACGATTAGCACAACCCAAAACTTCAACCCTTAATATGACCCTTAACCCAAATCCTAATCTAAATCTAACCCTAAACTTAACCCTTACCCTCGCCTTAATCCCAACCCTAACCTCCCCGTAATTCTTTACAAAGTCACATATATTACGGGCGGTTTCTGTTCCTCTGTCGGCGGCCATCTTTAACAAAATAACTACTGTACTAGGTCTCCGCTGTCTTAGAGCATAGGAGAGCAAGAGCTCCGAACGAACGGACAAAGTCGAGACAGTAAGTCCGTCATTTCAGTCCTATTCGCCCCCTA